AGGAAGGGACGAACAGGTGTTCAAACTTCCAGTCAAACCCAATCAGCAAGGAATGGATGGAGCTAGGCCTGTGGCATCGTTTCTCTGAGCTCAGCAAAGATTTCCTCGTTGAAGCCCATGCTGGAGCGGATCACCTTGCAGTTGATGGCCATGTCGGTCTCGTCCTGTAGCCAGTGGCACTGCTGCACGTTGAGTCTGCAGCCAAACTAGGCCAGGCGCGTCCCAGTCCAAGCAAATGGAGTTGTGGAAAATAGGATCTGGACCTGGCCACATCAGCTGTCGCTGGAGAAAATGGGCTTCAATGGGCTGCAAAATCCAACCAATTTGTCGGCCCAACCACTTTGAATATCAGATCTCCCGGCGACCTCAAGGGAAGCTAAGCAGCCGGCGGCCCAAAGTGCCAGCAATTGTGCAAAACGAGCTCTGTGTGGCCGAGGTGCTAAGACACAGCCATGTCCCTCATTGGCCAGGAGCTCTACTTCAACAAAGAATGCTTCCTGGCAAAAGAGATATGGATTTGAGGGTACTATAGAATATGCCACCAAAAGTGCGATATTGTTAATTTGCCTACAGTATCCTACAGTAGATGTTTGGACATTGCCACTTGGGCAAAGAGTCCGTCCTCTGGCAAGCTCTCTGCACGGATAACATGTATCCAGCGCTGGAAGCCTCACAATATGCGTGCAAACCCGCGGGGGCTTCTTGATCATAGTGTCACACTTCAGCCTAAGATTGTACCGCATATCTTTATTTTGTTTGTGTTTCCGGCGGAAACTCAAGGTGGCTCCGACAGTAGCACCTGGCATGCCCCTTCCAACAGTCATAAACTTTGTGCCTTTCTCAGGCTGCCGCTGGGTCTCAATCCGCCAAACTGAGCCACAAGTATCACTGGAGGACCTAGGGATCTCTCACTCAAACCAATATGGCGGCTAGGCTCTTCTTCCTCAATGACACCCAATGCATATCAGTGGGTGTTGGAAGTTGACATGCCCAATACTAATACGTGACCTTTGGGGTATTTGACCACGCTTCTGGCACACCAAACGAATTCATGCATGCCACGGGGGGGGATTTGGGGATCCAATGTGAGCACGTTTGAGAAGGAGGATGGTGTTGCGAAGACCTTGACTTGGACAATCCAGAGCCGCACACAACAAGTGGCAAGATCAGCACAACTTGAACTGTATATATAACTGTACAACCACTGCAATGGCAAAGAACATGGGGTCATGGAGCAAGCACATATAGGGACTGTGGGATCATTCAACATTGTCATTCACAACCACAAACGAACACACACACACACACACACCCCACGCACGCACCCACCCACGCATGCACATATGATATATATATATATAAATATGTAAATAGGATGCAGAATGCTCACACCAAATGGTCGGTGTCACTTCTTCCGATCTCGGTGAGAAACTCAATTATAATCACGCCGAACAGACTTTGGGGTGCTGCCACCTCTTTGCATTGGCCACATGCTTTTTGCAAAGATCAGGGACCTTGGACATTTCGAGCGGGATTTTCAAACCTGCAAGTTCGACTTTGCTTTGCATCCTTGGCCTTTGCCCCGGTATCAAAACCCCTTCAGCCACAACTCTTTCCAGCCTTGTTGGAGCTGCAAATATCATCAGAAGGGAACCCCTAGGGAACAAAACACAGCCAAGTCAGCTGACTGAGATTCATGCGGACGACGACTTTAGATTGGTCAACAGCAAAGGGCTGCATCTGAAAGCGACCTTGTTGCGCTGCTGGTGGATGAAGAATTAGGTTAGCTACCTGGACCTATTGAAAAGCCTCCCTCTCTCTCTCTCTCCCTCTCTTTGTGGGAATGTGCCAATTCTGAGAATCTAGACGATTACAGTACAGTAACAAACATCTGAAGCATCTGTCATTTTCTTATCTTCTGCGCAAACTTGAGATTCACTGTACAACCTCAATGAAGCAGATCAAGATGGAGACTGTGCTCAATAGAATATGCTTTCTTTTCCTTGCAAGTAGGCTCTGGAATCCGTGCTGAAGTTTGACCCAACGAGCTGCCTTGTAAAAGCACCGGCAAACCCAACCAATAGCAACTTTCAGGCCGGCCGGCGCTTTGTTTCATTCAATCAATCTTCCATGGCGGCTCCATGTTTCTTCCAGGCTCTGCATTGGCCAGCTCTGCAAGCACGTCTGCATGGCATGCGTCTGGCTTGCACCAACAGCCCAATCGAAAACCACGCAGCTCTGACAGTTTCTCACGTAGGGGTCGGCCATCCTGAGCAAGAAAGTGTCATTGACAGATCTGCTCACAAGCTTGTTTCCGCTGTTCTGAATTCGAGGACGGCTGTCAATTTATAATGTCTCACAGCCAGCTAGCTTGCGGAGAGTATCTTCTACAGTATATAAACAAGTTGTGGCAAGGGTCATGTTTCTCCAAAGCAATGCCAAGCCCAAAACGAGTCATCTAGCGAAAGGAACAACATGCATTAAAGTTGGGCATCAAGAATCTTCATCCTTCAAGGAGCCAGCCAAAAGCGCCTTGCGAAACTTCTCGCAGGCCATCTGCCTAGATGTGGTTTTAGAGACAACGATGGGGTTCTGCCACTTGGAGCCGGGAAAGTGGAAGATGCGCTTGGAGCCATTTGAGCCATGGATGAAAATACGCCCACGGCGACCCACATACACATTTTCTGGATCTTCAAGCCACTTCTCAAAGTCCTCATATCCAGCTTTCCTGAGACTTGCCACCTTTACAGAAACTGATGTGCATTTTGACTTGGGAGCACCAGTTACCATGGAAGCCCTCTTGCTTTGTGACACATCCGTTTTTGGCTGCTTCTCTGGTGGTGCCGTAGAAGCTTTGGCCCCACCTTGCCCGCTAGGGGCACTGGAATGTTTCCCCATGGAATCAGCGGGCGTTTGAGCTCAAAAGCTTCATCCGTTGCAAAAATCCGGAAAAGATTACTTTTTTGGACTCAGTGCACCCTAGAAGAAGTAAAAACATACCGCAAACATAGCGGGAGCTTCACTACCTCGCGGTTTGCAGCCTGAAGCTACAAAGATTACAAAGTCCCAAAACAAGGTCGTCCAACGCTTAGAACATTTCCCATCCGTCCTTTAGGCACTAAGATTGAGACGCACCGTCGGAGTACGGAGCATGTCAAGGACCTGGCAGTGTCCCAGGTGGTGTTGGTGCTTGACCGTGCCCGCTGGCCTCGCCCAAGGTCAGCAGCAGCTCAGCCAGTGGTCCCAGGCCAACGCCGAAGCGGGTGTCGCTTAAGATGATGTGCACATAGAGGCCCTTCCTGAAAATCAATAAGCGCCAATCAATGCAGACCATTGAAGGTGTTGCATACCACACATTGCCTGCACGTGCTTGCGGAATCACAGTGCATGTAAGTCTTACATTTAAGAGGCGACGCTGCAACTTAAACCAGTCACAAGGAGCACGGATGAGGAACACTTCCAGGGCACAACGACTTTGAATGAGCGGGTGTCATTGTCCTGCCGCAGTTGTGCGGCAACTTACCCAATCCTCTCACACATTTCTGTGGCAAGTGCTGGGGCGCTATTCCCAAACAATATCTTAAACATATATACGTCCGCAGCAGCTCAAATTCCCTTCCAGTACGGTGGTGCTGTGACTTGTGATTTCAGGCCTCATCGAACATGCTGGTGAAGCACCATCTAACAATTTCTGCTGACCCTCGTGGTTCTGCAATGCCACGGCCAAGGCACTTTGTTTGCACTGCCCTGTGCCGTTGCTCTTGGTACCTATATGGGCCCCGCTGGCGCGTGGAGATGTGTAAAGTGCGGCGCTGTGCTAATGGGGAACGAACTGGGAATTCAGGAAACCCTGACGGGGTGAGGCTGGTGAATGTGGATCATGTGTGGTGCAATGCACTAGAGCCTCCCCCCAAATTCCTTTCTGCTCAATCCCGTGCACGCGACCACTTTTGCTGTCCACTGTCGACTGGAAAGGGCCAGTAGAGATTTGCCAAGACACGTAGCAAAAATGATTATACATTTTCTAGGGGAAAGTTTTTCAAATAGAGATGTCTGGAGACAAATGTCGCCAGCTACACACTTAAAAAAGCATCGCAAAAGTACAGATTCCTAGAGAATGAGCATTCAAAAGTTTAGACATTTAGAGGCAGGTATCCCAAAAAAGTAGAGTTGGGAAATTGGTAAGCTTTTTGAGTAGAAGTATCCAAAAAGAAAACTTTCAGCAGCGGAGTATCAAACAGCAAAGGTTTTCGAAAAGCGACAATTCTTACAGTACATCGCAAAAGAGACTGTATACACAAGCAAAGTATTACAAAAGAAATGTCGCGAGTATTCTATAAAGGATACATTTCATCCACGTCTCCGCAACCACACTACACCTCACCCCAGTGCGTGGACCCGTCATCATCTGATTTACCTGACAAGTCATCACACCTGCTCATGACACAAAACGCCCGGACGCATTCCTAAAAATTTGCGCATTTGAAAACTTGGACCCACCAGCCTACTGGTAGTATGTGAGCCTAGTTGGAGTCATAAATTCTACTGCCAAATGTCAACAATTCTTACCTCGCCTTCCTCCCATCAACTGTGTGGTGGTGAAGCAAAAAGTGGCCACTGGCCTGTGGTGATATTATTTTTGCCGTGGTGAAGGGTATTGTGGTGGTGTATGATGAACCCCTAAGTTTCTACACTTTTTGCTGGACCCCCCACTGCTTGTCATTGAGGGCCTGTACTGTCTTTAAAAGGTGTTCTTGTTCGCTTGTCCAGGCTTCTCCGGAACTCTTTGCTTTTTATGGTTGGTGACAAGCAACTTGAAACAAGAAACCACAAATCGCCAAGGACTGTTGAAAGGAAAGTAGCGGCCGAGGAAAAAGGTTCTGGCGGACAAACGGGCTCTGCTAGCTGCCATTTGAGAGTCCATTGGACTAAGTGTAGGTGTGCATGGGTAGCCGCATCGGAGCACAGCTGCTCCAAGCTGGCCTTGACAACTTGCGCGGCAGCCCTTCACCATGCAAGCAACGACTTGCCGCGTCCCCTCCCACATGTCCTGCCCACCTTTCAAGACGCACAACCCTCACAAAGGACAGCGCTTTCTTGTCGCTCGCAAAATGCCTTCTTAATCTGACGCTGTTCTCATCAAAAGCAAGCATCACTCAACCACCAGCTATTCCAGCCTTTCCCGTCATTTGGACATTTTGACCTAAACTTTGACTTGCATGTGTATTCTGTAGAACTGTAGAAGTACCACATTTACCATGTACACGGTACACGCCTTGTTTCCATGCATGCGCAACAAATTTACAGCAGGTACGGTATGTAGTTCATCGGGAATATAAATTACATAGCGCATGGAGATTGAAGTGTTTTGAGGTCTGTGCTTGAAAATGCGTTTTAGTGACGAAGTGATCAAGCACTGCTGTAGAATTGCCAAGGTAGTGTGAGCCAAAATCATTTGAAAGCCACTGCGCCCACAGCCCCTTGCTGTTACAACATGATACAACTCCGAATGCATGACAAGGACCGGGTGCTTTCGTGAAGATCAATTGGAGAGAATCTGACCAGGTAGGATCCTGCGTGTGCGTCCAGGTTCTTGTACTCGTTGCGGCTGCGTGGTGCGCAATGATTTGAAGCCAACCAGTCCGCAAACAACAGGTTGGAATACCATCTATAAAAATAGAAAACTGTTTGCCAGTCCTGTGTAGTTCCTCGGGGTACGTTGGAAACAACTTGTGCCACAAATGGCCTTGGTGACGTGGCCAGCTGGCCATTGCAGACGTTTCACACTACCAAGCTGTCAAATTGAGACATGTCCACGAGGATTGCGGTGAAATACTCAAAGAAACAAGTGAACTGTGTTTTTTCAAAGTAGGTAAAGCCTATACACTGATAAGTTGCCTATGCTGCGGGTTTCGCAGGGTCAGAATTTGTGAGAAGGGTGGTTTTGCGAGGCTTCGTGCAACAGCAGACGCTTCGCGAATTCTAAGTTAACGTACCTTCGCAAATTGGTTTCGCCTGGTTGAAAACCAAATGCCTAATTACACCGGAGGCTTCGCGAACCTTCGCCACATAATGTATCACACAAAGGCCTTCGCAAACATTTGGCATTACAGTCCCAGTCTAATCGAAACTCTATCACTTAAATAAACAAGATGCAACCCACGAACCCGAATGCGCACACGCACTCGAAAACAAACGGCCAACCATTGTTTGACACTCTTGTGGCGTACTTTTGTAGGACACTCTTGTGGCGTACTTTTGTAGGACACTCTTGTGGGGACGCTCTTATGGAACACTCTTGTGGGACACTCTCGTGCAACACTCTTTTGGACACTGTAAGACGCCGTGGGACACTGTTGTGGGGCACTCTCCTGGGACACTCTTGCGGAACACTCTTGTGGGACACTCCTGCGAAACACTCTTGCAGGACACTCATGTGGAACACTCTTGTATGTGAGACTTGTCATGAACACACCTTCGAGGCAACAGCCTGAAATGCAAATCCCAATTGCACGGCGAAGAATCCTCATGAAACCTTGCGCCTGTACCGCAAAATCATCCGCGTTTCAACATGTTACGTTTCTACGCTATTTCAGATGAATCTGACTCTTCAGGCCTCCATCTGATGGGAGGGCCACATCAATCACATTCGGATGGCTGCGAACGTGGAAGCAGCGTCACGCGAACACAGCTCTAACCCATGGCCTCCATAGATAAGTGGGAACCATTTGCTATTTATGTGAAAGCTTGGGTAGGGAAACCTGAGCCTTGTGGTACCTGCACTCTAAGTCAGGGGCACGAACGAAACACGAAGGGGGTCGTGACATGCGATGCAATGTCTTTTCGCGTGACTGCCTAAGACTCAAGGGCCCTATTTGCCCAGTGAACCAACGGCCGCGAACCACAAATCAAGATTGTGGCACAATCTTCACACCGGTGGTGGCTTGGTCGAAAAGCCTCATGTAGGGCGACCAACGTCCTGGTGTGGGACGAACATGGAAGGTGTCGACATCACCTGCTGAGAGCAAAAACTGCAGTAGTCCACATGTCGAATTGCTGTGGCGTTGTTCATGCCATTGCAGTCTGGTCTCAGGTGGTATTTCTCCCCACGCCGGCTGATGAACACTCGGCTCGGGATGCCGGCGAGATTGCTTCTTGCGGCCTCTGCTTGCCGTCTCACTTCTTGCAACTCCCTTTCGATCTCTGCGATCATCCTTTGGTGTCGACCAAGCTCTTGATCTGTTCGATCTTGTCTCATCTGCCTCTCTTCTATCTCTGTTCTCAAATCATCAATCATGCTTCTCAGGTCCTGGTTGACCAGATTGCCTCTTCGGATGAAATCTCTGTATTGCTCGATCTTGGCTTCGAGCTTGGTAGTCTTGTCTTCCACTCGAGGTGGAGCTCTTGGAGCCTCCTCCGTCTGGACTCCACTTTCTTCCATCATCTCTTCATCTTCTTCCTCCTCCTTTCTTGCTTCTCCTCGCTGTCGTGGCACCTGTCGGTTGCAACACCGCTGCACCCAACTCACAACTTGCAAAACACTCAGCCCGACCAACAATGTAAAAATCAACAATGGCCAGTCCCAACCACTGTCCTCATCATTGCTAGCCAACACTGGTTGCACGCTGCTCGAAACAATCATCATCGCCTTTCTTGGCGCTTGCACTGATTGCATTTCTTCTGAGCTCTCCTTTCTCTCATGCACGCTCTTCTTCTTGGCTGCCTGAAAGGAACTGTCAGCAACCAAAGAAAACTTGTGGCTCCTCAGTCGATCGGCCAACAACTGCCTGGCCTGAATCTTGGTGAGCCCATCCGATAGTTGCACTTCGGATGATACCCAGCGCAACTGGGTCTTCATTGACTTCATCTTCTCCTTCACAATCATCACTTCTATCTGTGTCCTTTTGTCGCCACTGATCTGCGGGACTTCGGACTTGATGGCATCATATAGTGCCTTTGCGTCCACCACCAATGCACTCTGGAGGAAATGCTGTCCACTCCTTTCTTCGCTTTTGGCGTTGCTCAGCTGGAAGTTCTTCTGTAGACATGCCTGCCAGAAAATGTGCAAAAACTCTAAGGAGTCGATGGCCGCTGAGCATGCTTGTGCTTCTGCATTGAGTGAGCTCCTCGAGACTCTTGACAGCTTGTAGGACCGCCATTCTAAAATGACATATGGTTGGTCAATTCTCCTGCCAACATCTTCTTGTGGGCCAACAACACAAAGAAGCCACCTTGGCTCAAATTGTCAGCTCGAACTCCCCAAGCCGCATCTGACACTGCGACCATGCACAAGTCTTGAAGTGGTCCGAGATGTTGAAATCTCACTGAGGCATCTGAGTTCATCTTGGCAAACCTCAGTGTCTTGTTTGCGGCGTTGGCCACTGACTGAGTGGCTCCGTTGACATTGCCGCATAGAAGCGAAATTGAAGCTGACAAATGAGGTGATGTTTGAGTGGATGCCCATTGAAGTGCTCCGAGAAGCCCTCGGAGTGAGCTCACTTCACTGCTCCTGAGTTCTTCATCTTCGTTCTTTTTCACTGTGCTCATTGGCTTGATCTTCTTGAGGTAGTCCTGTTGCTGGAGTCGCCAGCTTTCATCATCGCCCTTGGTGAGCTTGTTGCCACAGAATTCCAGCTCGCCCTTTTCATCGGTGGTCCAATGCTTGAAGTTGAACTCTTTCCGAAGGGCTTCACGAGCTTGCCTGTAGCATTCGTCTCCTTCATCTCCTGCACCAATCAGGTCATCAACGTGCAGGCCAATGAGCGACACAAGCTTGCCATCTTTGTTGTGCAGCTTGTAGAGGCAATGATCCAAGCACTCATAGCCACACTGACACAATCTTCGTTGAGCTACCTGAAACCAAGCTCTTGGAGCATCAGCTTGACCATATAGGGGCTTCAGAAGTCTCATGTATGTTCCTGGAACACATCCAATCAAACGACATGCGTCGGCGGGAATCTTGCACCACAACATTCGCTCTTGCCTGTCTCCTTGAAGGAAGGCTGTACTGACGTCAGCCGTGAACTTCGACCAATCACCGCGATGGCCAGGAGCATCTGTCGGCTGATCCTCGACAGTGCTGGGCTACTTGTCTCCGGTGATCCTTGAAGCAAGTCTGGGTCACTGAAACCCTGAAGAACTAGCCTTGCTTTGGCTCTAGGATTGCCCTTCTGGTCCATCGTCCACTTGAGAACGAACCTGGCTTTCATCACGCGAGCATGATCCACTCGCTCTGGGTGACATTCGATTTCCCAGACTCCGTCCTCCAGCTCAGCCTTCTTTCCTTCAACGAAGGCCAACCTGTCCTCGAGCTTCATATGACCTTCTCGAAGATCGTCCTTCTCCTTCCTCTTCTTTGCGACTCCCACTGCAGTCCATACATGTCCCCTTCCACGCAGCGTTGAACGGTTTTGCACCTTGGACTCGAGGTCTCCTGCGTAGGGCATTCTTCGACATGTGGCTGCTGCCTTCGTCAGTGGGAACAAAGTCTTGCCATGCCACTGGCCTTTGCCAACCATGTAGGCCTCTTTGTCACTCACATAGATCTTCTTCTGGCCGTTGATCATGGTCAGACCATTCGTGGCTTGTAGGTCTGTCTGCTTCAGACCAAAGGAGGACATAGGTGGAATCCCTTGACCAGCAGTGATTCCTCACAAGGAAGCCATCTTCAAAGCTCCAAAAGTCCTGAGTGGGGCCCAGCACAAACTCATTGGACTTTGCGTCATACGTCCAGCCTTCTGCCAGCCTGTTGAGGCTTTCGGCATCTAGTGCCTGAGTGGCTGACACCAGGTCGACATGGAAGGCCTCTTCATCATCGATTCGAATCTTCTTGTCCTTGTGTTTTGTGCTGCCTTCACCCGGTGAGGGTGGTGTGTGTGTGTGTGATGTTGTGAAGGCTTGCTGTTCTGCCGCTGCCGATGCTGCTGCCGCATGTTGTGATGATGTTGCTCCTGTGTTCTGGGCCTGCCTTGCCCAGATTGTTTCTTGCTTGTCAAGTCTTCGTCTCTTTTCCTCGAATGTCTCCGAGGTTGGAGTTTTGAACAGTGGATCTACCTCAAGGTCCGGTTCTGGCTCTGTAGGCGCGATGGATTCTGGTGCAACGGATGCTTGTACTGGATGATGTGGAGAGTCCATCAGGCCATCGTCCTCAGGGACGGGTGGTAGTTGAGCCGGGTCGGACATGGCTGGTGGTAGAGCCTGTTCAGGGTGCCGTGTTGGGAATTGCCGCCAAAGTGCTGCATTGTGTAGCGCTCTTTCTCGTTGTAGTGGGCTGCCTGGATCATCATGATCACCTGGTGGTGCCTCTGGGGTATGTGGCAATGCCGCATGGGACACCGGTGGTGTACTGCTTGGTGGATCATGTGTTGCTTCCAGGTGGCCAGGAGTGTAGGGTGGTGCTTCTGCTTGCCTTAGGACTGGGTCCAACAGCTCTTCGTCTGCTGGATCTTCAGGGTCTAGCTCGTCGACTCATCATTGCGCATCTTCCTGACGTGCTGACGTCCTGCACGAATGAGGGAAGTGCCGTGAGCGAGCCAGTACGTCGTGATGGTGCCATCATCAGGGTTCTTCTCGACGGCCAAAATGACTGCCAAGCCTCTCCACTGGATGGTGTGCTGCCGATCTGGGGCTTCGCGCCAGTAGAGGCATTTCTCACCTGGCTTCAACTCTTCATCTTGGCCAGTAGTCCGGGGAGATTCGGCTGCCTGCCGAGTGCCAGCTGTGTTGGAGTGAGCCCATTCACGAAGGTGTGGTCATTGAGAACGGGAACCACCCAGTTGAGGGCGTCTTGCACGCCGTGAAAGTCTTTCAGTTCATGTTCTTTCATGAACACTTGGAGACTGTTCCTGAGCAGTTGATGCCTTCTTTCCACAAGACTTGTTCTTGTGTGACTTTGGCCACGGCTGATGCGCATCTCAATGCCGTGCTCCTCTGCCCACTTCATTGTGCTGTCTGAGGCGAATGCAGGATGTTCATCGACAAAGAGTTTGTGAGGTGGACCATGAAGCTTGATCCAGCTCCTTTTCATCGCCTTCTGCAGTGTCGTGGCTTGTTCTTCACCTATCGTTCTGGCCATCATGCCATGACCATGATGCCAACCTTCTTCTGCTTCTTGTCTCCCTTTTGGTCTTCCACGGAGTTGAGATCAAGCCACATGACATCACACTGCGCATTCACATTGAACTCGGTCGCCCTGTTGAGATGGGCTGGGGCAGCTGTCTTCTTGATGGCAAAGGATGTGCAATATGGGCATTCCAGGTCTTTGATGGCATCCAGGGTCCAGGACCTTAGGATTGCATGGCTTGTCCTTCAAAAGATTGAGCAAGACCTCAGTGCGGGGATGGCCAAGGTTGCGGTGAAGGCGGTATGCCACCCGCACGGCCTCCGTGCCATGCTTGGTCCCGAGCTTCCTCAGGATGCCCGTCAGCTGTTCTTCTTGTCCAGCTGCATAGACTTGTTCATGTAGCCCTTCATCGGCCATGATGGCCTTGGCGATGTGTTTGGCCATCAGCTCAGGATAGTTCTCTGCTTCGCGACAACGCTGGCCTCCTTCCAAGGGATGGTGTGCATGATCTCCTGAGCATCTCCTGGACACTTGCCAAACCATGGCCTGCTTGGTTGTCTTGAAAGTTGTGGGCTTCTTGATGGGTGCCCACTGGCCGTCATCAGTCCAGGTGGTGGCTCCATATGCACACTGATCGAAAGTGACTTGCATACCGGGCAGCGACTTGAATGCCGGTGTTGACCAGGCCTTGGAAGGTGCTGGATGTTCGATGTGGGCATGTCGCCCATGCTTGGCCTGCTGCAGGTAGAGTCGCCTGGCAAACTTCAAATGTATTTCATGATCTTCCCACTGCTTCTCTCGCAGTGCTTGGGCATCTTCTTCACTGCGGATGTTGATGTTCTGCATGGGACTCCATAGGGTGCATTTGGGGCTGATGAACACTTCATCGGGTTCCAGCTCCTGTTGCATGCTCAGAAGTGCTCTTCTGTGCTTGGCTTTCGTGAAGTCCCACTCTTCGAGCCCAAATCTCATCACTTCCGCTCCATTCCTTGCACACTCTTCTGAGACTCGTCCACGCCCTGCGTAGACCTCCCACACCAGCTTGCGCCTTCGAGCTTCAGGCCTTGCCTCCTCAAGCATTTGACTTTGCTTCTTCTTGATCTCCTGCAGCTGGTGCTCACAACAAACGAAGAACTTCTCGAGGCTCTCGATGGTCTTCTCAACTCCTTCCTTCTCTTCGGCCTGAGGTTCTTCATCTGCCAGGCCTTCAACCTCGGACCTCATCTCCTCATAGCGCTCCTCAGCGTTGAGGTCCTTCAGGAACTCATGGAGTGTCGCTGATTCAGCATGGTCATCTTCACTCCTCAGGTCAAAAACTGGCTGTGACAGCTGTTCCGCTTCATGGAGATTCTGACAAAGGGGCAGCAGCATGGCTCCTTGTTTGCCACGCTCAATCTCCTTCCATGGTCCTCCCATGATGCGCATGCGGTTGTCACCAAAATCAACGATGGTCTGCAGCTTCTCCAAAATAGGTCGGCCTAACAACATTGGAGTTGCACCAAAGATCACATAGGACTGGATCCTTCCAGGTACACCCTCAATGAACACCGGGGGAGAGATCATCCAGCGAGAGTGGCCCTCAGCGTCTCCTCCAAAACGGAAAGCCTTGTCACAACGCTTGAAATCCAGCTGAAACACATCGAACCCTTTTGCTGCCAGCCAACGAATGTACCTGAGTAGGTATTCTGTACCCATCAAAAAGCTGCTTGCTCCCTGGTCCTGGATCGCTGTATCGGCTCGTTCAGTCAACCAGCCTCCTGCCCTCACGAGCTGCTCACCCTGGGCGTAGGCCTCCTCAGCGTCAAAGAACACTGGCTGCTCCAAATCCTCAACTGTGAAGGTGCTCCTGATGAAATACCATACCAGCCAGAAGGGGATCTCCATCTTCGAGAACTCTCTTCTTGGGGGATCCTGTCTTGGTCTGACAGTTGGCCGCAAGATGACCCACTTTGCCACAGCGCAAACATGTTCTTGTCTCTGGCATCCCTGCCATGGCATCTTTGGCTCTTGCTTTTCCTGTTGGACCTTTTCCGCTTGACGACGAGGTAGTTGACTTTCCTTTTGGCTTCTTTCCTTTTCCTTTCTTCCCTGATGGTGGACTTGGCGACCTCGGAGTTGTCGATGAGCCGAGTGGCATCTGTCGCTGATCCACCATGGCAACAACAGGGTAAAATCCCCTGCTCTGCCTGAGCTGCTGCATCCTCTGCTTGGCATCCGTGTATGCAGCATAGACTTGATCGAACTCTTCGGTGTCGAACAATGAGCTGTCATCAACACTCGTGGCATCGTAGAAGAAGGCCTCATCGTCATCTTGCCAGTACGTATCATCGGGATCATCAAACCAGTCCTCAGTGACATCTTCTGCTTCGTAGTAGGTTTGATCCAGCTGATCCCATGCTGCACTGTCCTCAAACTCCTCATCCACAACTGCACGAACAAGTTGGCGGGGTTTCCATCGTCCCTGCTGCTGCTGTAACGGATTCCGGCGTTGAGGCACATGTGCATGCTTGTGATCCTGGCCCAAAATAAGATACAATGCTGGCTCCACGGCTCAATGTTGTACCGATATGTGTCTGAATCATCAACTGTTGTTCTCTGGACAATGCTGCACGACGGAGCATGAGCCAACCTGACACTTCCGGTGGGAGTTCAATCTTGAACTTCTTCAGCTCTCTCAAGGCCTGATTGAACTCACTGCAAAAATCCAACAATGACTGTCCTTGCTTTCTCACCAGCCGAAAGAAAAACTTCTCGAAGGCCTCCGGCATCTCGACACGCTCATCATACTGCCACTGAGCGTCCAACCTGCGAAGGATTGCAAGGATTCCATCTTCTTTCTCCAATTCCGACAGTTCCAGGTCTTCGCATTGCCGCCATGCGGCTCCTTCCAGAACTGACAACACGTTCAGGGCGGTCTCACGAGATCTGCCTTGGAGTTTCTGTCGGTGGGCGTACAACTGAATCCTTTTCCTCCACTCCTTGTACCCAACCGTAGTGTTGTCGAACTTTGGGACAAAGAACTCGTCAGAGCTAGCGGGTTCCGGTTGCTTCTCTTCAGAAGCGGTGGGCATGGCGTCGGCACCGGTGCAAAGCCGCCTTTGGCGGCTCCGCTACCAGTGTGAAAGCTTGAGTAGGGAAACCTAAGCCTTGTGGTACCTGCACTCTAAGTCAGGGACACGAACGAAACACGAAGGTCTTTTCGCGTGACTGCCTAAGACTCTAAGACTCAAGGGCCCAATTCGCCCAGTGAACCAACGGCCACGAACCACAAATCAAGATTGTGGCACAATCTTCACAATTCAAATATCAAGTGAAAACCAAGGTAGCGCCATGAGTTTGCGAGCGTCTGAGTTTCCGCGCCCTTTGAAAATTGCATCGTTCACCTCGTGTGGGGCTGCTCGTCCGCGCCGCGGATCTCCACCTGTCAACTTCGGGGGGCGTTGGGTCCAATTGTTGGTTTGAACACCGAAGGTGGACGAGCAATGATCATCCCGCCCAATCGCACGTCATGCCGGCTCCCTACCTTCTCGAGCTGAAAGAAAATGTGCCCCAGTTGAAACGACAAATTGAACGGTGAATGGCCGGCTTTGCTCTGAGGGAATCGCGGATGACGCGCATGTCGATCTGGGGAGCAAAGGTCCAGGCCTCCTGCCGTGGCGCAGTCACTAAAAAACAGTTGCGTTTCCTGAGCATAGCGATTCTCGGAGTTCCCCAGCGAAAATATCAAGTTATAAAAGGACCCAAGGCTTATTTTCTATAGACACGTCAAGCAGCGCGGTCTTTTCCACTCAACGCATCACGCTCCTGCAAAGCACTGAGCTGGGCGCGATGGAGACGCGGCTAGGTAGGTTCTTTGACTAGCAGTTTGATGCTCAGTTGCTATCTATTACTATTCTGCTTATTGATTATTGTTTTGATTTGCCATTTGACTTGCAAAGTGAAGCGTCCGCCAACAAACCAAAAGTGCCCAGGTTCCAAGTTGCACCTTGTGGCGCTGCCACCCCACGGATCAAACAGAGGAAACGCTGGGTTTGGCCTTAGCTGTCTACCTGGTGCAGCGAATAGGCGACCGCTGGTGCCTGGACTCAAAGCAGGGCTGAAAACGATGTTGCTCAAAAGCGGTTGAAAGCGCCTCCGGTCTTGCTGAGATGCTGCACAGGTTGTGTCAGATGGTAAATCACGGAACGAGAAATCCCACAGGCCGCTTCAAGTACAATGCTGCTCAGTGTGTGTGTGTGTGTGTGCAACTGAAGCTGAAACTGCAACCTTGGACCCCTGACGCTGAATCCATAAAGCTTGGTTTGCGTAAAACTTGCCGGAATGTTGTATGGTGTGGCTGGTAGTTGGCCCGCGCTCAGGGTTGGCGTCTAGTCAATCACGTGTTCCGCTGGCCAGGGTGACCGGGCGCGTCCAAGCTTTCCGAGTGTGCGCCGCAGGGCGTGCGGGCTTGCCTTTCCTCTCCTAATTGCTCAGGCCAAATCGGATCGCCAGCCGCCGAACATCATAATTACTTATGGTGGAAACCCTTTTCAGCTGATCCTTGCTGGCGGCCAGGCTAGCCAGCCTCGGGTGGCCCACTGCATGTTGCTGGTGTTGTGCAAAGTGTGGCGGCAGTTCAATAGCGTATGGGATGGGCACCTCGCTACATCGCACCAACACCCATACCTGGACTGGAGGGTAGCGAGCGCGCTGGGTGAAGTGCGGCAAAAAGGAGCGGCCTGGCATCCAAGTTGTGGCTTATCAGATATTGCGTGGGAAGGGGGTGGGGGGTGAAAGAGTGACTCGGGCGTACACCGTTGGGGCGCAGACCGCTAGGCTAACACTAACCGTGGTATGGAAGTGACGCTGTGCAAGCCCCCATTTCAGCAAGCGCAATTAATAAGTCACTTCCGCCATGCACCATGTCGCTGCTTTTTCTCCTTTCTAGGCCCAGTCGAAGGTCAAGCAGGATCTACAAACTGTCACAAGTACAAAGGCGCCATATACCTACAAGTCAAGCGTGTAACACACCGACAAGTAGTCATAGCTTAAAAATACAGAAGAGTGATAGCTTACTCACCCTTATGTCAGAAGTAAAGCAGTTGACACTCGGCTGACTGTACATTCAGCTGGCGAAGATACCGTGTATCGACGCTCAGTTGGCCTGTGCGAGCAAGACCACACGACGGTTGAATTCAAAATGCGCGGCTTTCACACAAAGACCTAGAACCCAATAAACGACCACGCAACACAAAAACTCGACAGGCTCAAACCTGCACTTCCTGCATCGAATTTTTAGAATACCTCGTAAAAATCCAAAGCGCAGCAGGCTCGAGGAAAGGTCTTCACGGTAGTGGTCTCGGCTGCTAATGAAAATATAAGAGGCCGAACAATAATACGTGCGCCGAAAGGACGCTGCACACCAAAAACACACGAGGCTCAAATGGAGATACCGGCAGGTGCTGTCTGTACATGAACGGATCTATGCGCTACACTTGTAATGGATCTTTGTAATCATCTTTCTGGACAGAAAGTTCATTAGAGGAAGATCTAAGGGTGGCAGCTCTGCACATGAAATTAGTCCTCAAACCATCTTCTTTGAAAAGAAGTAATTACACTCTCTACAGAGAATTTAAATCAACAGCTCTACGCGACAATGAGTCTTCACGATCATCTTCCTTGAAAAGAAGTACATCAAAGGAAGAAGCCATGTCCTGAGCAAGTGATATCAGCTCTGAAAAACGGTGACCACCCAGCTCAGCAACAACTACTCGCAGCTGCCTCAGACTTACCTTTCTTTCGGTTCTCACGTTGTCTGGCCTTCTGGCCCTCTGCGCAAATTTCTGCAACGGTTCACCGAGTCTAAACACGTTCTTCTCTTGACTGCTGGTTCGAGCCGGATGGAACGACGCTGAACATAGGCCCGTGGCTGTCTGTATCTGCTGGGCGTGAACACATGATGTCCTGGTCAATAAGAGCGCCCAATGGAGGGACGATTCCGACCATGCCCGAGCATGATCCGAGAATGACCCGAGACCGTCTCGCACCCGTCGTTCCGCAGAGCTAGACTTGCCAGGTTTGAAGCCACCGGTTCTATTGAAAAATGCAGCATTTCGTGCGTCCGCTATCTCTCCAAAACGCATTTTGTATTGCGCCTGCCACGAAATCTGCACCTGGAGGTTCACAAAGTGCTGTGCCTGCCACGAAATCTGCGCATGGAGGTTCACAAAGTGCTGCGCCTGCCACGAAATCTGCGCCTGGAGGTTCACAAAGTGCTGTGCCTGCCACGAAATCTGCACATGGAGGTTAACTCTTCGGAGAAATTGACCCTATGCCCTATATGCCTGAGTATGGACATCAGCGCTGTAGAACTCGTCCTGAGACATGGTATGACCCCATTCCAGAAGAATGGTTTCGCAACAGTCACCCAACTGGCCAAACCGGGCTCGTTCTCCATCGTCCATGCTTTCCCAAGCTCGACCAGTGAATGGCTCACATTCCTTCAGGCCAATTGAAGAAACAGAATACCAGGTCCTTGGAACAACCGGCTTTGCGTTGGCGTCAGCCTTAACGCGGGCCTCCCTGAATAGGCGAGCCCAGTGCCGCGTGTCCGTAGAACATCAACGCAGTCTTCTCTGCAGGATAGCGGATAGCGTGAGTGTCTTCGGCCCTGTCGGTACCCACATGAAAGTTGCAGCTTCTCACCGTTCGTAAACGGGATCTTTCCAAAGAAACTCTATCAGCTTCTGGAGAACGCATCGCGCGCTCTGGTTTGACCAAACTTGGTTTCAAAACTTGCCCACGTGACACCGTCGTGGCCTGCAATCACCTTAACAGAACCACCTGGGGCTAACCTAACCATAACAGCTAAGTTCTTCCAATCGTTGAAGCACAGAAACCGGTTCTCTTCTTCCAAAAACTTCACTGCTGGAACCCTTTACCATCAGCTCTTTGATGCCTTTTGTTGGGTTTATTCCTTGAGGGGCGCTTTGGAGCTGATGAGCCCATAAGAAGGGAGCTATGCGGCAATTACTGAAAAACACTATACAGTACCCCCAAAATAACAAATACTTAAATTGCCAAGGCAAATGAAATATGAAATGTAGTGATCAGAAAAAAGCACTCCTGGCCAATCGAGATGTTCTCGATCCTCATCGGGTGGAAGTACAGTTCGACTTCCTCCTCACCAAAAACTAGTCCTTTTTGCACTACCCATCTGAACATGATCAACGTGCTCAGCTTTCTCAGATCCAGAGTTTGAAGCAGCATCTTGCAAGGTCTCAGCTGTCGCTCTTGCAGAGCTTCAATTGTCACAAGCTGCCTCCAAATCTTTCACCTTCTCAACATCTCGCATTGCCGCAAGCGCAGCGCCAGCACCGGACACCTCTGCATGGATGGCACTCCATGTCTGAATAATGACAGCGCTCATTACTCAAACAGCCTCTACAGTAACAGTAACACCCTTCATAAGAATATGTTTGGAATCTTCTTGATGTACATCTACTCTGTCCCAATCTGTTCTGTGCTTGCTGCTAGTCCATGCTTAGCCCCATCAATGACTCCAAGGCTACTCTTGTTCGTTTCAATCCATGTTGTGGCCTTTGCCCAAGCAGAAGATGCACCTGGAATCCACACTTGTTGTTAAAAACTTTTCAAGTGTCAGAATAGCTGATCCTTGCATGTCAACACGCGGGGGTGAAGCAAATGATTGCTCACAATAGCTCAGCCCCAAGCTTTCTGCCAGTGTTTTCTCCTTCTGCCGCTGAGCACGGTTGTGCCTCTGGCCTTTCGCAGTGGGAGTCGTTTATCCCCGAAACCACCACTATAGAAAAATACTCACAATAGCGCGATTCATGCGCGAGACCGATTCGACAAACATGTGCAGGCCCATTCTGGAACGGCAGTTCAAACAGCTAACATGTCTATTTGTGCGTCGTCACCAGCAACTGCAGATTCATCAAGCCTCCTCGCACTCGGACTCGCTGCAGTCGCCGACGCATCGCCTAAATGCCACAACTATCTTCCTTTCACTACATTCCGAGGCAGGATTCAGTAAACATACAGCAAACCACTGTACAAATGCTACGTTATAAAAGTGATAAGAAATGGCGGTAACCAGTGTAAGTATATACAATATAAATAAAAAAAATATATATATATGAATGAGAAAGGAAAACAGTCCATCCTCACAACCACGGACATCGTGCGGCCAAGCCAAGCTGTTTTGAGTCTACTTTTCGTGACTGCTCCCCTTCTCATGCACCCCCAACCACTGGCATGCCCCATTTGGAGGTGACAGCTGTTCTTGACAACCACGACAAGGACGTTGCCCTTCTCATCGCCAGCACTAGAATACTCTGAGCTGAGATACAGGCATGCCACCCTTCACCGCTCAACACTCGCACGTCGTGCCTTTTTCAATGACAAGACACAGACACATGTCCCGAGCCTTTGGAGCCTATAAGTTGCCTGCAGTAAAGTTGTTTATAAGTTTACTTTACTTCGAGCTATCCCCACCCGACTGGTGTTCGAACCTTGGGAGCTGTTTAGAGCCCCTGATACGGAACATGAAGGCATCATGAAAGGTATGCGCCCTGCCTTGGGGGGGGGCTAGGTCCCCACCAAAATATATTCTTCATTAATTGCAGGCCTTTTGAGTTAATTAAATTGAGACTAGACCAGTGCACATAGATTTTTTACATGGCAATTATTCCCCACATCTTAGTGTGGGGTTCTTCTTTTCTATGTCTCATCCCGCTTCTCCCGCCCGCCTGCCGCCTCCCAGAGACAACGCACACCGAGACAACACACACACAGACAACACACACACAGAGAACACACACACCGAGACAACACGCACAGAGAACACACACACCGAGACAACACACACAGAGACAACACACACAGAGAACACACACACACCGAGAAAACACACACACAGAGACAACACAGAGACAACACACACACACACACACACACCGAGACAACACACACAAAGAACACACACACACCGAGACAACGCACACAGAGACAACACACACAAAGACGGCGCTCGCTCTCGTATTGTGAATTGCAGGAGATCTCGCTCTCTTAGAGGGTCTGGCGGTTGCGTGGTCGCCGGTGGTCGCCGGTGGTCGCCGGCGGTCGCCGCTGGTCGGCTGCGGCGCTGTCTTATTGTGAATTGCAGTAGGTCTCGCTGTCTTAGAGGGTCTGGCGGTTGCGTGGTCGCCGGTGGTCGCCGCTGGTCGGCTGCGGCGCTGTCTTATTGTGAATTGCAGTAGATCTCGCTCTCTTAGAGGGTCTGGCGGTTGCGTGGTCGCCGGTGGTCGCCGGTGGTCGCCGCTGGTCGGCTGCGGCCCTGTCTTGTTGTGAATTGCAGTAGATCTCGCTCTCTCAGAGGGTCTGGCGGTTGCGTTGTCGCCGGTGGTCGCCGCTGGTCGGCTGCGGCGCTGTCTTGTTGTGAATTGCAGTAGATCTCGCTCTCTTAGAGGGTCTGGCGGTTGCGTGGTCGCCGGTGGTCACCGCTGGTCGGCTGCGGCGCTGTCTTATTGTGAATTGCAGTAGATCTCGCTCTCTTAGAGTCTCTGGCGGTTGCGTGGTCGCCAGTGGTCGCCGGTGGTCGCGGCTGCGGCGCTGTCTTATTGTGAATTGCAGTAGATCTCGCGCTCTTAGAGGGTCTGGCGGTTGAGTTGGAAGATGAGAACTGGTGACTTTGTGGTACAACTTTAGCACGCGGACCAGCTGGGGAGCTGGAAGATGGGAACTGGCGACTTTGTAGTACAACTGTAGTACGCGGAGTAGCTGGGGAGCTGGAAGCTGAGAACTGGTGACTTTATAGTACAACTTTAGTACGCGGAGTAGCTGGGGAGCTGGAAGCTGAGAACTGGCGACTTTGTAGTGCAACTGTAGTACGCAGAGTAGCTGGGGAGCTGGAAGATGAGAACTGGCGACTTTGTAGTACCACTTTAGTACGCGGAGTAGCTGGGGAGTGGGAAGATGAGAACTGGCGACTTGGTATTACAACTTGAGTCCGTGGAGTATCTGGGGAGCTGGAAGATGAGCACTGGCGACTTTGTAGTACAAGTGTAGTACGCGGAGTAGCTGGGGAGCTGGAAGCTGAGAACTGGCGACTTTGTAGTACAACTGTAGTACGCGGAGTAGCTGGGGAGCTGGAAGATGAGAACTGGCGACTTTGTAGTACCACTTTAGTACGCGGAGTAGCTGGGGAGCTGGAAGATGCGAACTGGCGACGTGGTAGTACAACTTTAGTACGCGGAGTAGCTGGGGAGTGGGAAGGTGAGAACTGGCGACTTGGTAGTACAACTTGAGTACGCGGAGTATCTGGGGAGCTGGAAGATGAGCACTGGCGACTTTGTAGTCCAACTGTAGTACGCGGAGTAGCTGGGGAGCTGAGAACTGGCGACTTGGTAGTACAACTTTAGTAGATTATGCCCCATATTGCGGATGTGCGACAGCCGCTGGGGTTGTTGGCTAGTTGTGGCTGCGCACACCACTGCACAATACCTCGTACATCCGTCGTTCACATCACTCTCTTACACCTTCTCTCCCACCCCTCTGTTGTCGGAAGCTGATATCACTTCCTGACAAGACCGTGTTGTAGAAGCTATTGAGATTCTGACTGCTTTGTGCTTTAGAAACTTAAGATTCGTAAAGATTCATATGTGGGGTTATCCGGTCCTTTAATTTACATGGCAATTAAACTGGCAATGAAGGGGAGTGTTTATGATGGTTCGTGGCTGGATCTGGAAAAAACTAGGGGACCTAGAGTTATGTAATTGTAGGGGTGGTCAAGCACTCAACCACCCAAACACTTTTCATCTGACCACTCTCCATATCTATCAATAATATATATATATAATAAAATCCAACATATGTACCCTTAGATACCCCTAATAGATATATATATATGTAAATCATCAAAGGAAGTTTAGTGTGCAAAACTTCCGTGTTACGGACATTCAACAGCTGTTCAATACAGCACTCATCATACACCACTCATCATACACCACTCATCATACACCACTC